ATTTCGAATTTTAAAATATTATAACTATAGTATTTTTATATATAAAAATTAATTGCTTTTCGTTAGTCCCACAGAAAGTCGCGAAAGGTTGGAACGGCGTGACTAAATGTCGTCGTCACGTTTGTTTTTACTCAAAATAACATACTTTTTAGTAGCAAAATAAGATACAAATTGCACTTACTTAATTTTTATTTTTAGATGTATTACGTCACAAATTGATCTTATTTATTTTTGACCCAATTGTATTTATGCTATTTGAATTATACCCAGTTAGTAAAACCTTTTTTTAATATAAATGATAGTAAAAATTCTAGGGAAGAAGTCATACTTACATCTTCTCATTCAGACATACAATAGAAGACGAGAATATTCCTACACATATTTCTCACAATCACTTATTCATCCTTAGTAACTAACAATCAACAACAATATTTTACCTAGATACCTAGATAGTAAGTAATATATTTCTTGCAGTGTCCACGTACAGCGGCAGTGACATTTCTGGGCTCGCTTCTGTCGTTACCGGACGGGTTAATGAATGCGCCCATGCTGCAGCCCTATCCCCATCAATATAACACCGTGTCTTGTCCTGACCTCAAGGTATGCATCCATAATATTATTTTATTGTGAGTTTCGAGGTCAATCGGTCGAGGTTTAGCTCGAAAGTTGTCAGGTTGATCGGATTGGAATATTTATTATACAAAAAATCGTTAAACAGTTATTTTTATTATCATGTGGGAGAGCCAAGCTTCGGCAGGAATAAGTCGGCTCGACCGGAGTGATACCACGGCCTCACAGAAAACCGGCGTGACACAACCTCAGCGTTGTGTTTCGCCGTGTGAGTAAGGTTACCGGAGGCCCAATCTTTCTCCACCCCCGATCCCTCCCCAATCCCTTAATATCCAAAACCCTAATCCCTAAAAGGTCGGCAACGCACTCGTTACTCCTCAGTTGCGGATGTCCATGGGCGGCGCTGACTGCTTACCATCAGGTAATCCGTCTGCTCGTTTACCGACCTATTACATAAAAAAAGCGTATACTAATATTATAAAGAGTTCGAATTTGTGAGTTTGTATGTATTGGTCGGATTTCCAAAATTATTTGGAATAAATTGTATTTTGTTTACGTATTTGAGTCGAGCTATTGCTTAAATAGCTGCTGTTTTTATAATCTTAACAATAAATCTCCGGATTCATTACTTTTAAACGCGTGTGAAGCTGCGGGCGGAAGCTAGTTTGATATATATGTATACTAGCTTCCGCCTGACACACGTGTGGTACTTTGATAAAAAGTAGCCTATGTCCTATTCCTATGCCTGTGCCAAATTTCATCCAGATCCGTCCAGCCGTTTTGGCGTGATTGAGTAACGAACATCCAAACATCGTAACTTTCGCATTTATAAAATTAGTAATATTTTAATTGTATCTTTCTCCCCCTAGGAGCACGTGCTGAACATAGTGGTACGTGTATGCCGGCGGGAGGGGAGCGCGGCGGCGCGCTGCGCAGGCGCATGTGCCCTCACGGCGCACGTCTGCCATCTACTGGCCACGCGCGCTACTGCGCCGCGTCTGCCTTCATACGTCACCTGCTTGCTGCAGATGCTTATGGTAATCTATACTTCTACACTAATATTATAAAGAGGTAAAACTTTTAAGTTTGTGAGTTTGTATGTAGGGGGTAATCTCTGAAACCGCTGGTCGGATTTCCAAAATTCTTTCACTGATACAGCTACAATGTTCCTGAGTGCTATAGCCTATGAAACATCACGCTACAATCGAATGGAGCGGAGCAGCGATTGAAACCGTACAGGAGTTGCTAAAAGATGAATACAATGCTTGTTTGTTTTAACACTTTAATTACCACTGCGATTTTCACAATGATATCTCGGATGTCGCCTACATTTCTTGTACATTTTACGTTGAATCTGCCTGGCGAGACCGCGGCGCGGGAATAAAATTTGCGTGGGCTTTCTGGGCGAGTCGGTGGCACTGAATGTGGTAAAGTGTATGTTATTTGTATCTGTCCCGTTAGAATGGTTGTGACTTCTAGTTCAATTCCCATATTAAGTAGTCAGGGTCATATTTTATTTGTTTTTGCAAATTACGTTATTTAGCTATAATCACTTTTATCGCTACGTCAATTCATCCAATTAAACTAAATTTCGTTTTTTATCTGATTGCTCAGACGAGTATCACAAAATAAAATCAGGCTGTCACACATTAATAGCCTGTTACATGGTATTCATTTACGTATTCGATAAACCAACATATATGTGGTACATAGTTCATATAGAAAACGTTCTACATTTAAATTTATTAACATGTTGTGGCCACCCAGAGTTGTGAAATCTACAAGTAACTATTAAAATTAACACAATTTATTACTCATATACACGATACCCGATATATTGTTATCAAAAACTATTATATTTCAATTTATCTTCTATAAAAACCTGTGTCAAACAAGTGACTATCGTATTGAATTACATTCAGTGATAAAGCTTGATTTATTTCTACCACAGAATACTATGCGTGTTTATTATTACATATCATTACAATATTTTTCGAAAAATTATAAGAGGGAACTCGTAAATATAATGCTATTAATTGTTAAAATAATGCTATCATTTGAGGTCGTGGTGGCCCGGAGGTTATTGAGCCCACGTCTCATGCATGAGAGTGCGGGTTCGAAACCTGGCAAATACCAATGTGGCTTTTTCCGATTTATATGTACTTTCTATGATTATTTTGACACCGCTGACATACGATAAAGGAAAACATCGCCAATCCATCTCGACCAAGCTGGTCATTAATGCTTAAACCTTCTCCGTGTGAGAAGAGGCCTTTGCTCAGCAGTGGGCACTTATAGGCTGATGATGAAAGATGTCAATAATAAAGAAGTTTAATTAGTTTCAAGTCACCACAGGACTCTTATTTATAACGAACAGTAAAAACAACAGTACAATATCGAAACAATTTTCTTTTATTGATGAGGAAAAATCATCAAAATGACTTCTCCCATCTTCTTCCCTATGTGGAGCGAGTGTAGTCAAGACAGACAAGTAGAATGTACCGTAAAACACACCGATTTTGAGGTGCTTATTATTAGAAACTGACCGCAGAAATGTTTCAAAATAGCTATTTTTATATAGAAGACGCTAATTGAATGAGACATGCCTTTCGCTTAGGTTTTATGAAAATAAACTTTAGTTGGCTGTCTTAGTTTTGTTTGCGGGTCAATAATGTAACGTGGCCTCGGCCTGCAGTAGGAAAACAATGGGGTGGTTTTAGTCAGTAATGTCCGTACAAAACAAGCTTTTTCTTTAGATGCCCGGTTTCTGAAAGCCTGATCAATATTAAAATCAACTAACTAGGTGTCAAGTCTCTTGTCAAGTCATCTGATTGGTTGTTGATAATTCAGTCAACCAATCATGACTTGACAAGAGATTAAATTGATTTTAACATTGATCGGCCTTTCGGAAATCGGGTGTAAGTCTAAACCATTGAGCTAGTTTTTGTATTTAGAATTGAAGCTAGGTGAGAATTAGATTAAAAATTTAAAACCTGACATTGTATTTGGAATTGAAGTTACGTGAGAATAAGATTCAAAATTCGAAACCTGACTTTGTATTTCGAATTGAATGTAGGTGAGAACAAAATTCGAAATTCAAAACCTGACTTTGTATTTGAATTGACTCAGTGTTTATATTTAGAATTGAATGTAGATGAGGATAAGATTGAAAATTCAAAACTTGATTTTTTACACCTTTTTTGTGACAGAAAAAACATTAAATTACTTCTCCCGCCCAGTGCCGGGCGGGAGGGAGTGTCAGACTCTTACTGACTAAAAACCCCCGCAACCCCGGCTGAATTGTTTAAACCTAGACTAAAAATAAATCTTGTTTTGTAATAAAGAATCAGAAACTTACTTTTCCCCCTTAAGAAAAAAGTGCTATCTGATGTGCAATGTAATCAGTAATAATAAAAACTGGTTGTAGGGACATACATATACGTAACTATATAAGTGCACGTGCACAGTTGGGCAAAGTTTTACAAGAAAAAAATTAAAATATCATATTGGTGAAATGAAATGAAAAGATATATTTTAATAGTAAGCTTTACGCACACAATTAAACATATTGAAATAATCCACAGATGAAGAACAAGAACATCGCTAAGGTGGTGAGCGACTGTGTTCTGGCACTAGCCGACTACACAGACAGAATTGTCGAGCTCTATCCTGGACTTGCTGGTAAGGAACTAACGTATAAGACGTGCCACGCGAATACCAACCTTAATTGTTTAGTTTTTAGTTTATTTAGCAACTTGTTTTGGATAAAGTGTCGTTAGTGTTAAGGATAAAAAATATGATTTTAGCAAAACTTTTTAAAATTACAATATGTGGTTTACACACAATAAGTTTTCAACTAAATTCATTTTGTTTACTGGAATTCAAGAAATATATATGTAATACATACTTAGCATATTTGCACAATAGCGCAAAGTTTAAAAAAAAATCATTTTTTGTTACAAAGAAACGATTGTGCAACTTTATACCTTCTCTTCAGGTAAAATCATCAAGTGGATATGCGCATGTTTAGCGCAGATCTCGCCCAGTAGTTCCAGAGACTCAGTGAAGCCTCTAGCTGGTTCGTTATTGCTGTGTTTAGCTGAGTTCGCAGTGAGATGTGGACCTACTTACTTGATGCAAGAAAAGGATGGAGACCAGACGCTGTTGCTTATGATATTTAAGGTTAGTTGCTTATGTTTTTAGGCCTAGGAAAATGTCTGTGGATGGCGCTAGTGTAGATAATGGGCATGTTACTTGTGTTACAAGGAAATACTGAGATTTGGGGATAGATTTCGTCTCACAAAAATACAACAATATCAAGTATATTACTGCAATATATTCATATAAAAAGAATACGAAAAGTGTACAAAATAACAGTCAGCATTATGTAGTAAAACCTACACAAACTGGCGAATAAGACAAATGTTTGGTCAAGTGTTGGCCACACAAATGCTTAAGCATTTTATAGTGGTTGCTCACGTTGGTTCAAACATTGGTGCTTATTGCTGGGGGTGCTCAACATGCTCTTGGGGTTGGAAACCATGTTCGTCAGCCACGAAGTTGACGGTGTAGACGAGGCCGTCGGTACCGACGTACTTGTAGCTGCCACTCACTTCAAGGGCCTGGTGGTTCTCTCCGACTTGCTTCAAGGTACCCTTCTCCTGGCGAGCTGTGCCGTCACTGGTCTCAAAGCTAGAGGAAGGAAAATAAAAAGTCAGAATTGAAGTCTTTTAGGTTAGGTCTTTTTCATATACATCATCGACAGCCTGTACTAATCCGATGAAGTATAAGACCCATCTACAAAAGACGCAATAATCACGCTTTTCAGAAAGATTTGAAATACCAGTTTAAAAATTTAAGTGAATAAAAATTGGTATTGGAAGAAAACAACTTACTCGAAAGTGTAACCATCAGGGGTGATGTCAGAATCCTGCTTCAGGATGTAGACGGGGTGTTCCGCTGGGTTGCCCTGTTGCGGGGCGGCGGCGGCCATAGCGAACATGGCAAGGGCGATAAGTACCTGAATACAAAATATCGATGGTTAATATGATTGTGACTTGGTAAAACATGTCCAAAAACTTCATTGAAATTGAATATTTATAGAAAGGGTTCTTTAAGTCCTTTTTAAGTTTGAATATTGATATTTGAAACAATAAATCAATTGTTACAGTGTAGATATGTCTATGAAATTCAGTCAAAACTCGAAACTATGTTAATAACTTACGATCTTCTGCATGTTGAAGTTGTAAGGGTTGTTTTGGAGTAGGTGAATGCGGCTGAAAGCAGCTGTTGACTGTGCCTACTCCTTCAAAAACCGAGAATTTAAACAAAATTCACCAAACGATGACAACACTATCTCTCACAACCATATAATTGAGTGCTAATGAAATAAATAGAGGAGACCGAGTTTACAATGCGCTTACATAAACATATATATTTGTTCTTGCAACACTTGTCGAGAATCTTGTTAGTACTTCTCTAGTCTGATCGCTGTCTGACACATTTTCTTGGAGGTCAAGTCGTTACTAATTAGCATGGTGAAAAACTGAGAAAGATTTGCATAGTAGAGGAAAAACTCGTGTTTTTTTATGTAATACGCTAACAAACGATCAGACTATTATCTGATAGTAAGCTATCGGCGGTGACGGCATTATGGGGATAAGGGTTTGGAGGACTCAAGGATTGTTGAAGGATGGAGGAGGGTAAGAATTGGACCATCGGTAACCTTACTAACACGGAAGACAAAAACTCTAAAACCCACATAGAATTAAATGTATAAGTACTAGAGAAAAGGGACTATTGCATACATGTCTGGCTACCCCTGTTGGGGGGTGGGGAAAGCATGTTATATTGGGGTAATGATAATATTACCCTGGTAAACAAAAAACAATAATAGCTTAAACATGGTCTACCTTAGTTCTAAGTCAACTAGACCAGTAATGTCTTTCGCCGTATATATAGATGAATACATGAACTTGATTTAATATTTTTACTGAAGTTTGTATTTAATTATTTGAATACAAGATTAAAGGTTATGTTTATAAATGGTAAAAAAAGGTTCTACTGTCTAGATAGACACTCAAATGTGTGTCTCGGCTTAATAATTAAGATTTTGACGTATTTTTTATTAATACACGCACTTTCGGTTGATGACATATATTTAAGACAAGCGTCAAACAGGTTCACAGACAAAATCATAGATAATCATTTTATTACTTAATATAACACCCCTTCTTAACAAAATGTTCCTAAAACCATAGTTTGTAGTAACAATTAACAAATTGAAACATTAATTAGGAACCAGACCTACCAATTCTAAAAAAAAATCGAATGTTTTGTAGTAAGCCTTTCGTTAGAAGATCAGCTGGCATCTCTTGAGTTGACACATATTGAACATCAATTAAATTCGATTTTATTGCACCTTTAACATGTGTGTTATCCTATTATGAGACTTAGTCTTATTATACTCAATATAAAATGTGTACATTGTTTTGCTTTATATCCGAGATAGATAATATAAACACGTTCTTGTAGGTACTATACGCTGTGATGAAAGGCACTAATGGATCTGATATAGAAGGCCTATCGCTACCCGTCGACGAGGACTTCGACCCAAACATACAGCTGGACAACTTGGGACCAAAGACAACGCCCACCTCTACGATAGACGTCAAATTATGGGCGCAAACGGTATGTTATTTACAAATATTAATTTTAACTCATGTGCTAATTGTTAACGTGAATTGGTTTATTTAGATTTGTAAAAATGGTTTACGTTTCACAGCAACAACTTAGGATAGATGCCAAATATGAATGGCATATAATATCTTCTAGGTGGTTTTTATCCGGGTAAAGCTGGGAAGCCGCTAATATTATTAAGCTATAGATTTTGTTTGAACGCGCTTATCTCCGGAACTACTGAATCGTATTGAACATTTCTTTTTGTGTTCGTTAGTCCGTTTATCGAGGAAGGCTATAAAAGATAAAAAGATAAAAGATAAAAAAAAAGATAAAAGATAATTTATTTTGTAAAACATGGGTGTATGTGTACAAAGCAAATAATTGCAACATAAGGTGTAAAAAATAATAATAATCAGACCCTTACATGTTTTGCCTAGGATAGGCGTACAAAATTTTGTTCTATTTGAACCGAAACGTCATAGTGTTAGGCATCAATTAAGTATTCCTTCAGATTATAAAAACATTTGCTAATAAGAAATTTCTTTAATTGTAATTTAAATTTATTTAAGGGAAGCTGCTGAATGGATTTGGGTATTTTATTATAAATGACAGGCGCTAGGCAGAATACACTTTTGTGCATTAGTGCAGTGTTGCATGGCACAATACTTAGTTTGTCACCATCCCTACGGCTACGATTGCTTGCATCGGCAAGGCGACTAAATAGCTTTGGGTTGGTTTTTACAAATATAGCGACCTCATATATAAATAGGGAGGGTAGAGTTAGTATTTTATATTTAATGAAATATTGCTTACAGCTATCAGTGCTTCGGAGACCAAACATTGCCCTGATGCATCTCTTTTGAGATTTGAAGACAATTTCTTTGTTGGTCGAGTTGCCCCAAAATATTACTCACAATAGGCTATAAACATCACGCTACGATCTATAGGAGCCGAACAGCGGATGGAACCCCGCGAGAGTAGCTAGTAAATTTAATAAATTTAAATTTCTCCAGATATGCACACAACTAGTACTGTTCCTGGGTCACTGGCCTCTATGGAACGGATGGCAAGTCTCCTCCTCAGTGTGTGAGCAACACGACAGCCCTACCCTGGGCGGGGAGCTCGGCCCTGCGGTACTGACGGCGCCACATGTACAGATGATGCGTCTCAGTGAATCCACTCTAGCGTCCTTTATAGAACTCCCTGCGCTGGACATGCCGGCCGCTACTACGCCCGGTAAGTTGGTTTTATTATTCTTATTTTTCCAGTATCACAGATATTTAAGTAATTGTATAATGTATACAAGTCTACACCTACACGCATGAAGCGGTTCGTCTCCAGTTTTATAATCAGAACCGCTTAAGAATGGAATTCTTTGCCGGAGTCTGTTCCCCGAAGGATATAACCTGGGTGGCTTCAAAGCCCGAGTGGATAGGTTGCTTATGGGTACGCATTATTCTTTAGCACTAGGAGTGGTAATGGCTAAATGTCTGCCCATTTCGAACTAAAAGAAAGGTCATTCTTGCGACGGATATCTGAACACACAAATTTCTTTGTTTTGTATGATAACTATCGTGAGACATACTAAATTAACTAAAATCGTCACGTCTATATTATTAGTAGGTTGCGCGACGTCGCCGCGTCCGCGCACGCTGCTAATGAGGAAGAACCCCTCTGTGGTTCAAAACTAGTAGAGCTTTTCTCAGTAACACGCGAGTAACCCGCGATTTTTAGTTAACACAAATGTCTCTGCGCCGTAATGAGGCTAAAACTGTTTAAGCGTATTTTGAAAACGCTGTCGCGTTAGGTTACCGGATATCTGGCTGGACCTCTGGAAAGGGAGTAGTTCAATAGGAGTCTGACCCTCACTCATGCTCGGCCCAGGGCGGGAGAAGACATGTGATCTTCCAAATTTAAATTCCACATTAAAATTATTTGAAGTATATTGGTGTATGTGTACAATAGCAGTTATTATAAACTGACCTAAATGATATCAACAAAAATATGTTCGTTCTTCTTCTCTGCCCAAGTTATTGCGTAAAAATGTTTAATATTATTTTCCTACTTAACTCACATAGTTACCAGAATAGAATTATTTAATGAGTAACAACCATTTTATCCTTGATGTTTTCCGGTTAACATTTGGCTAACGAATACATTTCATTCACAGGTCTAATGACATCGGACAAACAGGCGCGAGTGTTACTCCGTGACATAGCGGGCAAAGCGTGCTGGGACGCGTCGGCGCTCTTCTACGACCCGTCCGTAACCTCCACGGAAACCATAGAACCACTTGAATTACCTGACACGTAAGTTTAATTACTTTATTAATACATGTAAAAACGATTTGTTGACGCGGTGGCTGGGCAACTGGAACCACGCAACGGGTCGCTGTTCCGATTCTCGCATGGAAAACCTCTTTGTGTGGTCCATTAATTGTTATTGTTGACAGCCATTAATCTTTTCTTATAGCATAGGTTTACCTGATGTTAAGCAATCCTCCCATTGACGCCCACAACACCAAAGGAGTTACGAGTGTGTTGCCGGCCTTTTGGGGATAAGGATTGGGAAGGGATGGGGAGAGGTTGAGGGATTGGGCCTCCGGTAACCTTACTCATACGGTGAAACACAACGCTGTGGTTGTTTCACGCCGGTATTCTTTGAGGCCGTGGTATTTATTTATTAATTTATTTATTAAAACTTCATGCACAATGGGTACATAGGCGGACTTATGCCTCAGGCATTTTCTACCAGTCGAGCCTTGGGTGATGCAGAGATGAGCCAATGGTCGGTGCAAGAAGCAAGCAAACAGACTTAAATTTAAATGAGTGAAGACGAGATAGGTACATATATATGTGCAAATATTTACACACAAGTTACAAGTTACAATATAATATATATAAACTAAGTACTCAAATTACATAATATATTTATAAATAACATATACATATATAATATATACTTATAATTATTATAATATACTATATATATGGTGGTCACGATTCAGCCAAACCTTTTAGCAAGAGCTCACGAACCTTTTGTTTGAAAGTCAAACAACTAGACACCATCCTGATATCAGGGGGGAGCGCATTCCACAGCAAGACAGACTGGACGAAAAAGGAGGAGTGGAGAAAATCAGTACGATGAGTGGGACATTGAAGAAGACGGTTATGGGAAGAACGAAGGTTCTTGCTGTGGTTTGCGCACATGTATTGAAAGTAAGACGATAGATAGCTAGGCGAAAAAGGTGAGGTAAGGAAAGAGAACAGAGTGGTTAGCGCCCTTTGCTCCCTGCGCTGGCGTATGGGCAACCACTTTAATTGCAACCGATGTGCAGAAACATGATCATATTTACGCAGGTTGAAAACGAATCGAATGCAGTTGTTAAGAAGTCGGTCAAGTTTATTGAGTAGATCAGCATTCAGGTCGTAGTAACAAAAATCAGCATAATCAATAATAGGAAAAACCAAGGCCTGCACCAGCATCGCTTTCGTAGCAGACGGAAGCAAATTCTTCAGTCGATACAGTGTCCGTAAGGATCCAGTGACCCTCTTACATACGCTCGCAACTTGTGCATGCCACTTCAAAGTAGGTATCACTCCGATCG